AATCTGAAATACAATCATGTGAATCCAAAGACCCTCTTTAAAAATTCTCATTTACAACCCTTACGGCAGTCTTCCAAAGATGAAGTCTACCTTTATTCAACTGCAAGACTATTCCGTAGGGCTAGAGGGGCCACTGAACCAGCAGTGCCAATTTGGTGTAGTGGTTAAGTGCGTGGACTCTAATCTGGGAGAACCAGGTTTGATTCCCCACTTGCACCTGGCTGGATGACCTTGGGCAGGCCGTAGTTCTGATAAGAGCTGTTCTTGAAAAAGAACAGTTTCTGCCAAGAGCTCTCTCAGCCCCACCTACCTCACAGGGTGTCTGTTGTGGGGAGAGGAAGGGAAAGGAGTTTGTAAGCCGCTCTGAGACACCTTTGGGTAGTGAAGGGCAGGGTATAAATCCAATCTCTTCCTCTCTCTCCTCTTCATGTGAATGGCAGCAGAAGGTACAGAGGTGAGACTCCAAAAAGCAGATAGCAGCTTGTGGAGCACACAGAAACAACATGTGAACAAAGTTACTAACAGTGGGAGTTAATCAGAGGAGTATATGGGAAAGAAATAGATGACAACATAGGCAGATCATTAAAAAAGAGACAAATAAAGTCACCGTGTAAGTTCATCATTCGGCGAAGAAGTTTGACCATGCCACATTAACTTTCTAGGTACAGGATTCTCCATAGTTCCAGGTACGGTCCCCTTTGCACCTTTAAACAACCAAAGCAGTTGTTAAGTTAGAATGACATCAGGGAGGTGGGGGTTACCAAGAGTTTTGCAAAGATTATTACATCATGTATGATTATCATCTATAATGGGATGGAAACTCTGGGTGTGTGCTGCTTGATTTGTGGAGCTCTTTGCTCTGATGGAACAGGTTAGCTCACTTGAGGCTAGAGTTGCTGACCTGGAGAAGCTGAGAGAGACAGAAAGGTACAAGGGCTCCTCTGCTGTTGTGGAGAGTGAGAGTCTTGAGGCTGAAGGGTCTCGAGGTTTGTTGCATGACAAACTGATATTGTGCCATACCAAGGAGAGACCCCTATGAGTTTGGGGGTGAACTTTTAAAGGTAGTGGGAGGTCCAGTCATTAGGAATATAGAGTGCAGGGTCTATGGCTGGTGTTTCAACTGAGTTGTGGCTTGCCTGCCAGATACAAAGACTGCAAACACGGTATAGATAGACTGATAGCTAGGAGTCAGCAGTCATGGTGTATGTTGGCACTTGCGACACCTGCTCCTGGAGGATAAATTTAGGTTACTGGGCAGCAGGCTAAATGCCAGGACCTCCAAATTAGTGTTCTCAGAATTGCTATACCTGTTCCATGCGAAGGGCCAGCTAGGGAAATGCAGTTTAGGGGACTCAATGTGTCAATGAGAAGGTAGTGCCGGGAGGAAAGGTTTAGATTTGTTAGGCCCTATGGAACTTTCTGGGAAAAGGCAAACATGGGCCCCGGGGCGGAAAAGGGGGGGGGGGGGGGAGCGTGGCTGTTTGCCCCGGAGCAAAGTAATGCGCAGCAGCCCGATTAGACGTCCTGTTGAGGTCCCGTGGTTAGGCTGTTAGGTGCCGATCACACGGCTAGTCTGCAGCGCGGCAAAGAAGCAGCATGGCACGTTCACACCAGCAATCGCTCCGCTTCCACTTCCGTGGCAAACGGGATTTTTTTTTTGTCTCACCGAAATTTGCGCATGTGCATGATCGTTTGTGCGCATCCTGTGGAGACTTAAAAAAACCCAACATCCGGTTTGCAATGGGACATGGGTGGGTGCCAGATGCCACGGGTTTCCAGCAGAAACACGATCAGACGCCCATCCTTGCCCCGTGTTTTCCGGAAACTAGTACATCGTATGTGGTGGTTTTTTATTCCGCATCTTCGGCAACAAGCCACAGGTTAGCCACGGGTGCATTACGCTTCCCAGATGTTGCTGTGTGATCGTGCCCGGAAAATCTGCCTATCATCCGTGTCTTCAGCGTGGCAACTTCTCCGTGTGAACGGGGCCATGGTAACCAAAAGAGGTAATCAAAAGCCTAATAAAAGGATACATTCTAATGGATTACAATATTTTAAATTAACAAAACTTTAATGCATTACAGAGAGCATGCCTTTTGTACTCTAAAAACACCATTTCTCCCTTGCTTGCTGTATGAGTGAGCTGAGCAGATCTATTGAAATAAAACGAATTGATTTGCTGCTGTTGAATCTAGTTTGGTCTTAGTTTATGAAATTAGTTTGGCAGATTCTGACTCTTAATTGTGCTAATAAACACTGAACATCCATATACAGAGGCACTGTAACTTTGATTGTCATCACGTCTTTCTTGTCCGTTACACAAACACCAGGTTGACCTGTGAGAGAGATAAGAGGCCAGGCAAGGATTTGAAGAACCACGCAAATAGTTCTTCATAACTAAGTCCGTTTTGATCTCATATTTTTCAAAAGGTCTTTCAGAAGTAGTTATGATGTGGACATCAGGTGCTCAAAGAAAAACAGTCAAATTCCCTTATGTGCATCTAAGTTCTTGAGCATGCCTAAAGTACAATAGATCCTGGAAAGTGTCCTGGACTAGCTACACATGTTCTTACGTGCAAAAAAAAAAAGTTGTTATACTCCCAGGCCAGCGTTGCTTCATTGTATCTGTTACTTTCACTACCCCTACAGAGTCCTCAGACTCCCATCTTCCATAGCAGTTGGCCTGCACGTGTGCTG